ATCGACGCTGATCCAGGGTGTGTCTACCGTAGACGATGGCACACCGTTATACAACCTCGTCAACGGTATGACGGGGGAGGAAGATGGTGACGTTCGCCTCGAGGCTATGCCTACAGTAGATGATCTTCTTGAGCTGGACGAGATGTACTTTGAAGAGTTCGGCAGTGCCTTGAAGGCAGGTGATTGATTTAACCAAAGTGGCCATTGTACGACCGGACGAGGAGATAAAATCGTCACCGTTCCTGGATGAAGCTGTCTTGGAAGACACCAAGAGAGTGCTGAACGCACGAAGTGGATCGTCGATCCTACGGAATCCCTTGGATCCGTACTATCCTTTGGTAAAGGAACTTCAAGACGTCGTCTCCAAAGACCAGCCTTCGGTCCTACCTCCGGACCGATGTGTGCGACATGAGATCGACCTGGTCCCGGAAACCAAATACTGCGTAACATGCCAATGGCCCCTGCCCAAGGAGCAGTGCGACGTCATTGACGCATTTTACCGTGTCAAGCACGACGCAGGGATGGTACGTGAGAGCAAGTCTCCCCATTCGACACCCACGTTTTGTGCTCTGAAGCCGAACGGCAAGTGGCGTATCGTTCATGATTACAATAACCTCAACGCTGGCACCATTCCGGCACAGCCGCCAATTTCGAGAAAGAATGTTCTTCGGAACAACATGGTGGGATGTACGAAGTACAGTGCAATCGACTTGGTCGATGGGTTTTACCAATTGCTCATGAGAGCGAGTGATATTCCGCTAACACGGTGAGCACTCCGAGCGGCATGCTTTGGAAGTGGCTGGTGATGCCCCAAGGGCTGTTAAATGCACCAGCAACATTGAAAAGTCTTGTGACGCAGTTTTTCAGGCCCCACAGGGCGTATGCACATACATACTTTGACGACATTTTTGTTCTTAGTCGTCCGGATCACGGTAGAACGGATGAGGAGAACCACATCGTCCATTTAAGAGGTGTGCTTGAGTGCATGCGTACGAACAAACTGTACGCCAATGCAGACAAGTGCATCTTTGGCGCAGAAGAGATTTCCATTTGAGGGTGCTTCATTGAGAAGCGTGGCCTTCGAGCGGATCCCGCTAAGGTCAAGACCATTGTGGACTGGCCGGTTCCAAATAAAACAGAAGGACTTGCGTAAGTGGCTTGGTCTCGCCAACTGCTTGCACAAGTACAGCGTGAACTATGCAGAAATGGCTCGACCGTTATCCAATCCCCTTAAAAAGGATACGGAATGGTGTTGGACACCGAACATCAGGAGGCTTTTGAAGGGGTCAAAGACAGCCTCCTGCATGCACCAATACTGACGCTGCCAGACCCTGATCGCCCTTTCAGCGTCGTCTGTGACGCTTCGGACTTTGTCATCGGCTGTGCACTGCTGCAAG